GGGAGGCAGAGGTTGCAGTGAGCCGAGATCATTCCACTGCACTCCAACCTGGGCAATAGCAAGACACTGTCTCAAAAAAGAAAAGAAGAGAAGAGAAAAGAGGAAAGGAGAGGAAAGGAGGAAAGTCAAGTCAGGGGCTAAGCATCCTGGTTTATGCCTGTAATCCCTGCATCTTGGGAGGTCACGGCAGGAGGATTGCTTGAGCTCAAAAGTTTGAGACTAGCCTTGGCAACATAGTGAGACCTGGTCTCTACAAAAAATAAAATAAGCCAGATGTTGTCACATTGGCCTGTAGTCCCACCTACTTGAGAGGCTGAGGTGGGGCCGGGCGCGGTGGCTCACGCCTGTAATCCCAGCACTTTGGGAAGCAGAGGTGGGTGAATCACTTGACATCAGGAGTTCGCAACCAGCCTGGCCAACATGGTGAAACCCCGTCCCTACTAAAAATGCAAAAATCAGCTGGTCATGGTGGCACATGCCTGTAACACCAGCAACTTGGGAGGCTGAGACAGGAGAATTGCTTGAACCCAGGAGGCGGAGGTTGCAGTGACCCGAGATGGTGCCACTGCACTCCAGCCTGCATGACAGAGCAAGACTCTGTCTTGGACAAAAAAAAAAAAAAAAAAAGGAAAGAAAAGAAAAAAGAAATTTTAGGACTAAATATGACCCATTTAAGAAATATTGCCAGATGGCTGGGCGTGGTGGCTCATACCTGTAATCCAAGCACTTTGGAGGCCAAGGCGGGCGGATCACCTGAGGTCGGGAGTTCAAGACCAGCCTGACCAACATGGTGAAAGCCCGTCTTTAACAAAAAGAAAAAAAGAAATATTGCCAGAAAAGGTTTTTCACAGGTGCGTTGGCAAAATATGAGAAATCATTTGTCCTCAAGCGTTTTAAGTGATGACCTGAGTTTTGATGTAATTTATTCTGAGACTCAGAGCAGTTTATCTTCTTCCTTCCTATTTTGTTATAAAGTAAGAAATGATTTGTGAGCTGGAAAAAGAAAACTTTTTTATTATATATGAATAAAGTCAAAGTAGAAGACATAAATTAAATGACAAGTCATACTTTTAGTTTTCTGGGTTAAAATACTATCTTAATTCCCATTTTTTAAAAAAATTAGTTTTTAGTAAAGATAAGGTCTCACTATATTACCCAGGCTGGTCTTGAACTCCTGAGCTCAAGTGATCCTCCTGCCTTGGCCTCCCAAAGTGCTGAGATTACAGCCATGAGCCACCTCACCTGACCGTAATTTTCTTTTAGTAAAGGAAAGAGAATTGTGTTTTCATGGAATAATCTTACCAATGTTTGAGTAGTAAAGAAAAAAATTTAAAAATGCAAATGCTGGCCAGGTGAGGTGACTCACGCTTGTAATCCCAGCACTTTGAGAGGCTGAAGCAGGTGCATCACGAGGTCAAGAGATTGAGACCATCCTGGCCGACATGGTGAAACCCCATCTCTACTAAAAATACAAAAATTAGCTGAGCATGGTTACATGCGCCTGTAGTCCCAGGCTACAGGACTGAGAGGCTGAGGCAGGAGAATTGCTTGAACTCAGGAGGCAGAGGTTGCAGTAAGCGGAAATCGCCTTGTTGCACTCCAGCCTGATGACAGAGCAAGACTCTATCTCAAAAAAATGAAAAAATTAAAATGCAAATGCTATTTTTTTTGTTTAGCAAATGCTAATTTTTATATCTTTGTTAAAAATACAGCATCCCTTAATTTTAAGGGGAAATATGTATGTCAGTTACTAACTCAAGCTAGTTTTTGTTTTCTTCAAACTTCTGTCATGCATACATATAACCTATAACATCGAATAAGCAGGGATTTATGTGATTTCTAAATATTTCAGACTTTCTATGTAGTTTTTATTTTTGCTTTTAAAATAAATAAGCTTTTAGAAAAGCTGGCTGAGAGGATGAGAAAAAAAAGAAAAAAGAACAAGGAAAAAAATAAAGTAAAATAAATAAGCTTTTATTTATTTTATTTTTACTAAATAAGTTTTGACCACAGCTCTTCTCTGTTCCATTTTCCCTACAGGCTACCACTACTCTCCCTTTTACATATTGTTACGGTTTTTGCCATAATTATTTGCAGGAATGACAGCCCTCCCCCCAAAAAAAAAATCACCACATAGATATCATAGAAACTTGGATGACCAATGTATTTTATTTATTTATTTATTTATTTATTTATTGAGACGGAGTCTTGCTCTGTCACCAGGCTGGAGTGTGATGGCGCAGTTTCGGCTCACTGCAACCCCTGCATCCCGGGTTGAAGCGATTCCCCTGCCTTAGCCTCTCGAGTAGCTGGGACTGCAGGTGCCTGCCACCATGCCCGCTAATTTTTTGTATTTTTGCTTTTTTGGGGGGGAGGGGGTCGGAGTCTCGCTCTGCCGCGCAGGCTGGAGTGCAATGGCACGATCTCAGCTCACTGTAACCTCCGCCTCCCTGGTTCAAGCAATTCTGCTGAGCCCCCTGAGTAGCTGGGATTATAGGTGCCCACTGCCATGGCCAGCTAAATTTGTTTGTATTTTTAGTAGAGACGGGTTTTCACCATGTTGGTCAGGGTGGTCTCGAACTCCTGATTTCAGATGATCCACCTGTCTCTGCGTCCCAAAGTGCTGGGATTACAGGTGTGAGCCACCGCACCCGGCCATTTTTGTATTTTTAGTAGAGACCGGGTTTCACAATGTTGGCCAGGCTGGTCCTGATCTGCCTGCCTCGGCCTCCCAAAATGCAGGGATTACAAGTGTGATGTACCGCGCCTCGCATTTTTTTTTTTTTTTAAGACGGAATTTCATTCTTGTTGCCCAGGCTGGAGTGCAATGAAGCGATCTCCGCTCGCTGCAACCTCCAGCGATCTCCGCTCCGCTCGGTACCTCTGCCCCCTGAGTATCTGGGATTACAGGCACCTGCCACAACGCCCTGCTAGTTTTTCTATTTTTAGTAGAGACGGGGTTTCACCAAGTTGGTCAGGCTGGTCTCAAACTCCTGACCTTAGTCAATCCACCCGCCTTGGCATCCCAAAGTGTTGGGAATACAGGCGTGAGCCACAGCGCCCAGCCTGGATGACCAAGATTTAATGTAGAGTGATTGTATTGTATAATGGATTTTCAACCCCTAAGTAAGTAGTAGAGAAGACATCTCAGTCTGCAAAAGTGAATATAGGAGTAAAATATCTCCAAAGTACTATGTACTTTTAATAATGATCATATTGATGCTTTACCCTATTTCATCTCTTTGCAATGGGTATATTTGTAAATATAATAATTATTGTCTTTATTTTCTAAGGACAAATTTCCAGGTGTGGTATTTAGAAAATTATTAAAATAATATTTAGTGGCTTTTAATAACTATTGCCAAATGTTTGAATTATTTACAAAGCTTTACAAATCTACAAGTGTGCAATTATCTACTCATTTTACCATAACCTAACCAGATTGTTTTATTAATAATCTTAAATCACAACTATATTTGCTATTAACTTGAAATGTCAAAGTTGAGGTGAATTCTAGCTTTTCAACTTTACTACTGTGATTCTTATGTGTATGTGTGATATTTGAAGAAATGTGAAAATCCCTTTTCACTCTTTTCAATGTCTAGGGAGTCAGATTTCTTTCCATCTGTTAAAATATAATACAATTTCTCACAAATGTGAAAGACCTAGTCTTCAAGTTCTCTAAAATAATTTACTGTGTCAAGTTTTGATAATATTCCTAGCTCCCTAAAAATGATTGAATCAAATAAGTTTTTTTCTCTGCAAATACTAACCACCCAAACAATTTCTGGTTGTTAAATAGTAGAGTCAGCGTTCCTTTGGTAACGAATATTTAAAGGAACTCCCTTGGAAATTAATTTTATAATAGGTGATTTTTATGTTTTTACTGTATGTGATACTGATCCATGCACTGGATTTCAGTTTGGCAATATGCTTTTTAAAACTGGGAGTCTTAAGGTGACTCTGTATATTAGCATTTTCCGTAAGTTTTTGGATTCAAAGGTGTTTTTTGACATTAAGTATTCCTTGGTAAGTTTAAAATGCTAAACAGCTGACAAACCTCTGTAACCCACAGGTAGGCTAGATCGAAGTTATACATTTCTAATGTCAAGGTATTTTTAAAGTAGAGAATTTTGAGGAGTAGAAAATCATAGCTGTCAAAATGTACAATGATGAACATTCATAAAGAATTGCTGAATCATCATTGCTTTGCATATAGAGTGGGTGTTCTCATTTCTTTAAAGGTTAACACATGATTATTACCTTTTATTATATTCTAAACATATATGTACATTTTCTGTTCCTCATAAAGGTTTTTTTTTTAAGTTTACAGACTCAAGATATTTGGACTGTGCAATTCTTTTGACATTTTCTTAGAAAAAACCATACAGAGTTATATACATTGAAAATGTCTCATAAATACACAAAATATATTTTCAAAAGCAGGCATCAAAAGGGTATATAAATACTATGATCTAACTTTGTTAACAAAAATTATAAAACTAGATCAAATAATCATGAGTATTCATAGAAAACAGGATTAGAAGTAAATACAGTAACTTTTAACAGGGATTACCTAAAATGGTATCATAGGGAGATTTTTAATAACTTTTTCTTCTGTATTTTCCAAAATCTCCGACAATGAATATATATTTATAATTAGGGAAATATGTTTTTGAAAGAAAAAATATTTCTCATATTAGTGCCCCTTAAGTGACATACCCAAATTTTACGTTGATCCAGTTGCAGTTAAGTCTTGTAAGGAACATGAGTATGTATTGTCTGTAACCTGATACTTTCTATTGGCTTTCCTGCAGCACCAAAATTCTTTAAATAGGGACCCTGTGGGGCGGCTGCGGGTGGGGGGTGGGGGGTGTGGGGGAGACGTCATTCAGTTTTAGTTGAAGTAACTAAATTCAGATATTAAAATTTCAAAAATAAACATTGGTTTGCCAGAACTATGAACTCATGTATCCTAGAAAAAACTAATTAGCTAAAATCATGTTCAAGTCCCTTACTTATCTTAAAATAATGCATTTGAATTTTATTATAGATACTCCGAATGTGAAATTAGTACATAAACTTTCTGGCTTTTCTGATTGATAGACCCCAGGAATTTTGACGACGACGTAAAGTATTTGAAAATTTCAGTTCAAACAACCCGCATTTTAGTATTACATACTTTACAGATGAATAGCTTGAAATTAAAATATCTAAAACGGATTCGTAGATACTTTTATTTGTATTTTACTTTAACTTCTTTAACAGAGTGTTTAATGACTGTGATGATTTTTGTTGCTTTTTCACCTAGTATGGAGTACATAAATATGTAGTTGTGACATTCTGTCTTGAAATATTGGCATGTTTATTGACTTGGCCTCTTTAATTAGGAAATATAAAAATTTCCAGACGGAAAATGAATAGTTAATCGTGGAGGAGGAGGAAACATAGCTCAGTACTTTGACTAGAGGCAGCTGGGAAAGTGACGTCCTGTAGCATTTGCTGTTCTAGAAAGTACAGAGACACGTAGTGAAAATGGGAGGATCTAGAAGGAGGCTGTCTCCTGTGTAGTGTATATTTATCTGTAAGTGAGCTGTTGGGGAAGGATTGAATACAGAGACGCTGTCTGCTTGCTGCCTTAAGACAGCTAGCTGAATTGCCGATTTACTTTAACTTTTAAAATACCCAGCTTGGTTTATTTTTCTTAGAATCGGTCTATTGCTAAGACTGGGGACACTGTTTTCTTTTACAAAGGGAAATCTAAGTTCATTTCAAGGCATTCGAAATGGGGAAAGACTATTATTGCATTTTGGGAATTGAGAAAGGAGCTTCAGATGAAGATATTAAAAAGGCTTACCGAAAACAAGCCCTCAAATTTCATCCGGACAAGAACAAATCTCCTCAGGCAGAGGAGAAATTTAAAGAGGTCGCAGAAGCTTATGAAGTATTGAGTGATCCTAAAAAGAGAGAAATATATGATCAGTTTGGGGAGGAAGGTAAGTATTCTCTGTATATCTTTCTGTCTCTTCGGCTCTCTTTCTCTTTCTCCCAGCCTTTTTTTTTTTTTTTTTTTTTTGTTTCTCTCAGCCTATGATTATTCTTAAATTGGATTCTCAGTCATATCAAAAGTAGAAGAACAAATAATGAATAATAACAAGATTTCATCTCTGATCAAATGAATGAGTATTGCAGAGCTATGAATGAAATGTCCTTGTTTGCCTTTTTTATTTTAGCATTTTGGATTATACATATTTTATCACTAGACTTACAATGTTAACATTGTATATGTTAAAAGAAACCTTGAATTCCCATACCTATTAGTAAATTGTGTCAAAAGTCTTACGCAACCTGTTTTGTTTTCTAATGAATTTTCTGTCAACCTGTAAGGAGTTTTCTGTCATTTAAAACCTTAAGATTGGCATTTCACGTTCTGAGCAGTTTATATTTTATTCACAAAACCAAAAAGTAGTTGTTTGCCTTTCTTATAGCAAGGCTAGTTTAGACTGAACAAGACAGAGTTGCGACTCTCAGAAGCAGAAGGCGCAGGCATTTAGCTTCTAGTTGTTTTTGGCATTCTGCCATTCTGCCTGGAGAGGAAAGAATTTTCCTGATGTCATAAAATACCAGAACAAGTTTTTAGCTTAATTGTAAACAATAATTTTGTGCCAAGAAAATGAGATCTCAGAAATACAATTTTTGACCTAAAATGGCCACCTAGGTAGGATGATTATTGATTTACTTTTAGGTAACATTATTTGTTGTAAAATTTTACTAAGTATTGAGAAAAACATGACAACTTCCCTTTCCTCTCCCTGCCATACTTTTGTTTTTTGCATTGTGAGATCAAAAACTAGTGAGCACAGTAAAGGAGGATAACTTAAGATTATTCTTTTCTCATTCTGCATTTTAAATCAGATTTGTGCATCGCTTCCATATAAATGTGGCTATAGAGTAAGACTTTTAAATTGCTAATTAATAACACAAAAAACTTTAATTTGTACTAGTTTGAGGATTTTCAACTTTTAACATCAGGACTAAGTTATTTTATTATTAGTTTTTCTCCCAAAATACTGGCTTTTAAATCATTGTAGCTATGAAAAGTTTTTTGTTATCCCTTTGATTCCTTTATTATATTTAACACCAAAGTTTCCTAATTTGAAATGTAGCCTTAAAATATAGTCAAGCAGTGACTGCTTATTTTGAATTAAACAAATTAAATGTAGACAAACAGGGTGATTGCATATAGAGCGTTTTTTATTCTTGTTTTCTTTTGCCTGTTTGGTCTGTGAGTTGCCCCAAATTGAAGTTTATGTTGCTGGTTTTGTTGTAGTGAGGACCTATAGTGTCAGGTTCTTACAAAGTAAATACTGAAAAAAGCAAATACTGAGCAGTTCAATCCTGCATGATACCTATGGTCATACTACTCAAAATATCATGATTTGGTTTATCTCAAAAGCTAAGCAGGATTCTGAGATGCTACCAATAATGTACTACACTTTCTGAATGAGTTATTTTGTAATTTTGTAAAGAAATTCACAAACATGGAGTAACACTATTAATTCCCGTGAAAAAAGCAGATATCCACTGCTTCATATTTAAAACATTTTGCAACAATTCACTGGTAGCTCAAGTTTGTGGCTAAGCCATTGAATTCAGGGTTTAAGGATATTTGTCTTCAGAATTTTCAAGTCACCAAATGATACGTTTTTCTTAATTTAATATTACTTCTTAATTTAAGTGCTTTTCTAGAGTGATTTTTCTTATTTGATTTTTATTGGTCATTCCACAGTGAGTGAATTTTTTAAAAAACTAAATCACTCTGAATGTGTATACCCTGGGTTTTTTTTTTTTAACTTACATAATTGATACAAGTGATAGGAGGAAAGAGTGAGGAGAGAATGCATTTTTTTTTAAACATAGAAATATGTTATGCAGAAATATCATTCTCTAGTTATAGGTTACTTGAAAATACAATTGAATGGGCCAGGCACAGTGGCTCATGCCTGTAAACCCAGCACTTTGGGAGGCTGAGGCAGGAGGATTACTTGAGGTCAGGAGTTTGAGACCACCCTGGTCAACATGGTGAAACCCTGCCTTTACTAAAAATACAAAAATTAGCTGGGTGTGGTGGCGCATGCCTGTAATCCCAGCTACTCAGGAGGCTGAAACCCGGGAGGCAGAGGTTGCAGTGAGCCAAGATTGTGCCACTGCACTCTACCCTGGGGGACAGAGTGAGACCCTGTCTTAAAAAAAAAAAAAAAAAGAAAATACAATTGAATGAAAGTTATTCGAATTATTTTTTAGAATTATTCTTCCTTCACAGGAAAAGTATTGTATTTGTTTGCCTTTTATTCAGAATATCTCATTTATTCTATTAAACATCCCATTTAGATACACTGTGAAAGCAGGGGGAAACATTTTTTCTCTTTGCCTTTTATTGATCTCCAGACCTGGTTCTATAGGTTTCTCCTGTAGTAACAAAACACTGAACTTTAGGACTATGGAAACACTACCAATTTACCTAGTATCCTTCTTCCTGCTCCCCCCCAATTATTACAGTCTTGGGACTTAGGGCTGGGATGGTGGGAATAAGGAACCATGAACTGAAAAGTAGTATGTAAGTTGCACATGTTACATTTATATATTTAGGAATGAAAGAACCAAAAATCCAGTTTGTGTTCTGAATATTCACATTTTTATTTATTTATTTTTTGAGATGAAGTCTTGCTCTGTCACCCAGGCTGGAGTGCAGTGGTGTGATCTCGGCTCACTGCAACCTCTGCCACCCGGGTTCAAGCAATTCTCCTGCCTCAGCCTTCTGAGTAGCTGGGATTACAGGTGGGCACCACCACACCTGGCTAATTTTTGTATTTTTAGTAGAGAGCATTTCACCATGTTGGCCAGGCTGGTCTCAAACTCCTGAGCTTGTGATCTGCCCACCTTGGCCTCCCAAAGTGCTGGGATTACAGGCATGAGCTACCGTGCCCAGTCTGAATATTCACAATTTAAAGTGCTTTGTTTTAAAAACAGTTGGCTAGCTGGGTGAGGTGATATATACCTCGTTTCAGCTAACATGGAGACTGAGGCCGAAGGATTGCTTGAGCCTAGGAGTTTGAGTCCATCCTTTACAAAATAGCAAGACCCTATCTCTAAAAAAAAAGGAAAGAAAAAAAATAAAGATGACTTAAATTTACTTTTAGAAATCTATAAAAGGGAAACAAAAACATGTCCACACAAGGATATGTGCCTGAATGCTTATAGCAATGTTATTTGTAATAGCCCCAAGCTGGAAACAATCCGAAAGCATCATAAATTGGTGAATTAAGCAAAATGTGGAATATACCGTCAGTGAGGAACTATTTAGCAATAAAAGGACCGATTTATGAAACATCTACAACAGGGATGAGCCTCAGAAATTATGATAAATGAAAGAAGCCAGATGTAAAAGACTGCATATTGTATGATTTTATTTATGTGAAATGTCTAGAAAAGGCCAGTATATAGAAAAAGAAAGCAGATCTTTCTTGCCTAGTACTTGAGGAGGGAGCGGGGAATTAGCTACACATAAGAACTAGAGAATTCTTTGGAATGATGGAAATGTTCTATAACTGGATTGTGATGATGGTTACACAATTCTATCAATTTACTATAATCAATTGAATTGTATTTGTACCATAGGTTAATTTTATGTATGTAATCTGTTTTTAAAAATAAAATTTCTCTATAGTTGAATCATTCGAAAATAAAAACCACAGAACTACAGAAATTTAAAACTGCATTCTGAACCACTCTCCCCCAGAGTTTTAGGCTTAGTCTTGAATAGTTTAGTGGACATCAACCGAAATTTGTGTTAAGAGATTTGAAAGAAAAGATTTCAGTAACACATCTTCATTTATTCTAGTTCTCTAACTTTTCTTTTTTTATGCTTTTCTTATTTCGTTATTGCTTATGATTTATTCAGTAATTTCAAATATTAAAAGGTAATGTTTAAATGATAAAACTTGTATTTATTAATCTTTATACTAGTTCTATTCTTTCACATATATTTAGTTAGCTAGATTTTAAAATTTTTATTATTCGTTCTAAAAACATGTGAGTCAGTTTGACTTTTGTGAACTAAAATTGTTTAATGGATCTCAGAGTCTCATTATTTTATAACTGAGGTCTTGCTATAAATCTGGATTTTTACATATTAGATCTCCTTGGAGTAAGAGTTATTAAAGTAATATCAATTTATTTCTTTGCAATCTGAATTTTTCTACAGTGTTTCTTCTTTTGGAAACTTTTAGTCAACCTTAACTAATTAGTGGGAATCACTGTTGTAGGTAGCATTCCAAACATATATTTGGTTTGGGACTGCGAACTTGTTGATTGGGTAGTTGTAAAGTAATAGTCCTGCCAAAGCACAGGAAAATGTTGATTCTATATTGCATTTTTTGATCACACAAAGTGAAGATGATACCTAGAAAACATTTTGAATAGCAGAGGGAATCCAACTGGATGTTAAACATTTCCATTAGCATTAGACATGTACATGATTAGGAACTATATAGTTAATGTGACATTACTTAGAATTTTATGTGCTAGACAATGCAAGTGATACTTGCATAATAATGTATGCTATAGTATAGTGGCATGAATTTTGGTAGGATTTTTTCATTCATTAGTGTAGCTTCATTCTTTGAGCTGCATAGTTGACTGTTTAATAGTGTCTAGGAAAACCTCAAAGCTGTATTGGAGGCTTTTTTTTTTTTTTTTTTATCAGCTTTGATTAGTAAGTTACTTCAGACTTTGTATGAATCTTCTCAGGGATTTTGTCATTCTGACCAAATTACTATTTTTTGGCAGAGGAGGAAGAGGTTTTAGAGAAAAGCCAAACCCATGATGTAATAAATTAAAATGTTATTCTTTCTTTTCATGAATTCATTATGAGTGTTAAGTATTTAGATTTTGTCTTGTAAAAGGCTAGATCGGGCAGGCTAATTTACCCAGTTTACCTAACTCAGTTAAATTATTATACTCTTAAAGTCTATGAGATGAAGGATAAAATGATTTGAATAATTTAAGCATTGGTTGAGTCACCTGGGTCATGACCTTGAGCTACATATTATTCTGTCATTTAAAAAAATCTGCCATTGGCTATTTAACATTTGGAGTTATACTACTGAAATTTACAAAAGGGAAATTTGGGTGAGCTGCATATGAAAAGTTCTTGTCCTGCTTATACTTGTCATTCAGTTTCTACAAGGAATTTCCCTGCTATTTGGATGTATTGTTCAATACATATTTTGACAATTTGCAGATTATTAGGTCTCTCTTGGTTGCTCCAGGTTTCTATTCACGGGTGAAGATAAAAATTTAGATATGTCTTGAGACTCTGTTAGATGAAATAGAGTACATATATAACTTTCAATGGAAGAAGCCAGATGCAAATGTAGAATAAGATGTAAGCAAAACCAAGTTTCTTTACAGTATGTTGTGTGTTAGTGGCATTTTAAAGTGTTAAATATCTCTTATATGTATATATGTGATTATATTTTACATTGTTTTTGCTTCTGCCTTTTTCTCTGTACTGATACTCAGGACACCTTTTTAAGTTTTGATTAAGAAGGACTTTAGGAATTAGTTCATTCCCTTCATTCACTAAGCATGAATGCCTACAATTTTCAGCCCTGTATGCATGAGCAATGCAAAATGAATAGATTTCCTGCCTTCAGATCACTCTCTGTTAGGAAATATTAGCTAAATCTGTTGAATTTTTCATAGTTCTATGATTTTTTTTTTTTTTTTTTGGAGACGGAGTTTCGCTCTTGTTACCCAGGCTGGAGTGCAATGGCGCGATCTCGGCTCACCGCAACCTCCGCCTCCTGGGCTCAGGCAATTCTCCGGCCTCAGCCTCCTGAGTAGCTGGGATTACAGGCATGCGCCACCATGCCCAGCTAATTTTTTTGTATTTTCAGTTGAGACAGGGTTTCACCATGTTGACCAGGATGGTCTCGATCTCTTGACCTCGTGATCCGCCCGCCTCGGCCTCCCAAAGTGCTGGGATTACAGGCTTGAGCCACCGCGCCTGGCCATAGTTCTATGATTTTTAGATTCTTTTCTATTTGTTTCCTGGTTAGGAATTCGCTTAAGGTTCACTCAGAAACTGCTGATATTGTAAAGACAGAAATCCTTACTAGTATTGACTGCTTAAAAGATCACTATACTGTTGTTTTATGGGTTTTAGTAAAACATTTCTTTCATACATAGCGGAAAATGTTGTGTGAAAGAAAAGGGTCAAAACATCACTATAATGTTGCCTGAGGTGGGTTGTTCACAAGAGACCTTACATGTCAAGGTTTACAGCTGTAGATTTCAGTCTTCTTAAAAGCATTGAAATTAACGCTAAGATGTGGTATGCCTAGATAAATAATTTTCGTATCTAGGGTAGGAATAATAATTTTAGTGTCTAAGAGTACATTTTCATAGAGTGCTCTCATTATTAGAATTTTTTCACTCTCTACCACAGGGTTCTATTTTATTTTTTATTTTTATTTATTTATTTATTCTGAGACAGAGTTTTGCTCCTGCTGCCCAGGCTGGAGTGCAATGGTGCAATCTTGGCTCACTGCAGCCTTCGCCTCTCAGGTTCAAGTGATTCTCCTGCCCCAGCTTCCCAGGTAGCTGGGATTAATACAAAATTAACCATGCCTGGCTAATTTTGTATTTTTAGTAGAGATGGGGTTTCACCATGTTGGTCAGGCTGTTCTCAAACTTCTGACTTCAAGTAATCTGCCCACCTTGGCCTCCCAAAATGCTGGGATTACAGTTGTAAGCCACTGCACCTGGCCCTGTTTTGATTCTTACACAGTAAAAAATGATCTGAAATAAAACTAGTTAGTATGAATATGATATTTTTTATTACATTATATTGTATATGTTTCTATATAAAATATATAAAAACAGTATGAATATGGTATTTTTGTTTATATAAACAGTATGAATATGGTATTTTATATTGCTATATATTAATATATTTATGTATTTTTTATTTTATATATTATTGTTTGATTGTAATACAAATTAAAGATTTAGGTTCTGTACTTTGTATTGATTATTGAAGACCTTTCAACTGACATCTTTTAAAAACTTATTATTTATAAGTAGATACATAATTTATATACTTCAACATTCCAGATCAGTAGTTTATAAGATAAGGAGTTCCCAGTTTTCTTTTCTTTTTATTTTTTTTCTTGAGACGGAGTCTTGCACTGTTGACTGGGCTGGTGTGCAGTGGCATGATCTTGGCTCACTGCAACCTTCACTTCCTGGGTTCAAGCGATTCTCCTGCCTCAGCCCCCCGAGTAGCTAGGATTACAGGTGCCTGCCACCATGCCCAGTTAATTTTTTGTAGTTTTAGTAGAGACAAGGTTTCACCGTGTAGACCAGGCTGGTCTTGAACTTCTGACTTCAAGTGATCCGCCTGCTTCAGGCTCCCAAAGTGCTGGGATTACAGGCGTGACTTACCACGCCCCGCCTTATTTTATTTTTCTTACTTACCTGAGGAACAAAGATTCAGGAATAAATTATTAAAGATGCTGATTTGGAGGAAGAATTTGAAAACTAACAATTTAACTTAGGATGTAATCAGGAGTTTTATAGCTGTTCTATATTTAGTTAAAATGGCATTTCTGGCCAATATTAATAAATTTTAATGTAAGTTAGCTGAAGTTTATTAGCCATACAGTTTTTGAAAGTTTGACTTTCAAGAGTTGCAAGCTTTTTTCTAATCATGCTTATCTCTTCAATTAGGGTTGAAAGGAGGAGCAGGAGGTACTGATGGACAAGGAGGTACTTTCCGGTACACCTTTCATGGCGATCCTCATGCTACATTTGCTGCATTTTTTGGAGGGTCCAACCCCTTTGAAATTTTCTTTGGAAGACGAATGGGTGGTGGTAGAGATTCTGAAGAAATGGAAATAGATGGTGACCCTTTTAGTGCCTTTGGCTTCAGCATGAATGGATATCCAAGAGACAGGAATTCTGTGGGGCCATCCCGACTCAAACAAGATCCTCCAGTTATTCATGAACTTAGAGTATCACTGGAAGAGATATATAGTGGTTGTACCAAACGGATGAAGATTTCTCGAAAAAGGCTCAATGCTGATGGAAGGAGTTACAGATCTGAGGACAAAATTCTTACCATTGAGATTAAAAAAGGGTGGAAAGAAGGCACCAAAATTACTTTTCCAAGAGAAGGAGATGAAACACCAAATAGTATTCCAGCAGACATTGTTTTTATCATTAAAGACAAAGATCATCCAAAATTTAAAAGGGATGGATCAAATATAATTTATACTGCTAAAATTAGTTTACGAGAGGTAAGTTGTTGGATCTAAAATTCTGAGACCAAATATTTATGTAATTGATCATAGGGAGTGTATTTAGATAATAGCTAATTTATTTAATGCCTATTACACATTAAATATAATTATTACAACAATCCTCTAAGATAGTACTGCTATTATGCCTCTTTTATGGATGTGATTATATTATCTAACTTTAGCTACTTATAATTAAATTGTTAATTTGAAGTGCTAACTGAATTATGTACTATATGAGCCTGCTTTTACAAATGCAGCTTATGAGCTGGGTGCGGTGGCTCATGCCTGTAATCCCATCACTTTGGGAGTCTGAGGCAGCCGGATCATGAAGTCAGGGGTTCAAGACCAGCCTGACCAACATGGTGGAACCCCATCTCTACTTAAAAATACAAAAATTAGCTGGGCAGGGTGGCTTGCACCTATAATCCTAGCTACTTGGGAGGCTGAGGCAGGAGAATCACTTGAACCCAGCAGGCACAGGTTGCAGTGAGCTGAGAGTGGGCCATTGTACTCTAGCCTGGGTGACAGAGCAAGACTTCGTCTCAAAAACAACCATCATTCTCAGCAAACTGACACAAGAGCAGAAAATCAAACACCACATGTTCTCACTCATAGGCGGGTGTTGAACAATGAGAACACATGGACACAGGGAGGGGAGCATTACACACTGGGGTCTGTTGGGGGAAAATGGGGGAGAGACAGTGGGGAGTGGGGAGTTGGAGAGAGATAACATGGGGAGAAATGCCAGACATAGGTGAAGGGGAGGAAGGCAGCAAATCACACTGCCATGTGTGTACCTATGCAACAATCTTGCATGTTCTTGACATGTACCCCAAAACCTAAAATGCAATAAAATAAACAAGCAAACAAAAGCAAATGCAGTTTATGAGATCTGCATTGGTAATCTCATCACATTTGTCCTTGTATAAACGGTTTGTTCTAAAGTTGTTAATATGGAGTAATAATTGCGTAACAAAAAAGTGATTAAAATAATTTATAATTCACTATAAATAAATTTGTATACATTTATATTAATAAAAATATATACATTTATAAGTGCATAGAAATGTATGCATTTATACATCATAATGGTACTGCTTTAATATAGTTATTATTTGAGTTCTTATTTGCACTATTTCTTTTTTTTTTTTTTTTTGAGATGGAATCTTGCCCTGTCACCCAGGTTGGCATGATCTCAGCTCAGTGCAACCTCCACCCCTGGGTTCAAGTGATTCTCCTGCCTCAGCCTCCCAAGTAGCTGAGATTACAGGCACACACCACCACACCCGGCTAATTTTTGCATTTTTAGTAGAGACGGGGTTTCACCATGTTGGCCAAGCTGATCTCCAATTCCTGACTTCAAGTGATCCACCTGCCTCAGCCTCCCACAGTGCTGGGATTACAGGCATGAGCCACTGCACCCAGCCTGTTGGCACTATTTCTCAAATTGGATTGCAACTCCCCAAATATGATCATAAGTTCCCTGCTTTAAATTCTTAAATTGCTCTACATAGCCTCTACCATAAAGTTCAAACTCTTCAGCTTAAAATAAGTCATTTTAAATGTGATGTCTACCCATAAAATGTATATCCACTTCCCCACGTTTGCTCTATTATAATATTTGTTGTTATTTTTTTTGAGATGGACTCTTACTCTGTCACCCATGCTGGAGTGTAGTGGCACAATCTTGGCTTGCTGTAGCCCTCCACCTCCCAGGTTCAAGTGATTCTCCTGCTTCAGGCTCTCCAGTAGCTGAGATTATAGGTGCCCACCACCATGCCCAGCTAATTTTTGTATTTTTAGTAGAGCTGGGGCCACCTTGTTGGCCAGGCTTGTCTCGAACTCTTGACCTCAAGTGATCCGCCCACCTCTGCCTCTCAAAGTGCTGGGATTATAGGTGTGAGCCACTACACCTGGCCAAGCTTGCTCTATTATTATCTGTATACTTGAGCTCTACTCTATGGAACACTGTTGTTTCTCACCCTGCCCTAATAGCCTGCTACTCGTCCAATGCTTAGTTCAAGTATCCTCTACTCCCAGAATATAAGGGGTTAAGTTGGTGCTCTTTCTCTCCCTAAAGACCTCCGTATATACCTCTGTTTCTACACTGTACTGGTTTTTTATTATATATATTATATTATATTATAATGGCTAGTTTGCTTGCATGTTTCTGTGAGTTCCTTGTGCATTCATTGAGCTGGGGTCTGTGTTCATGGTTTCTATAGCATGTAGCCAGAATGTGTGGCATTATATATAGTGAATGCTCAGTAAATATTTGTTATCTAAAACAAATGTATTTATTGTCCTGATACTTTCCAGAGAAGTAGGTAGTTGCTCCTGTCATATACTTTCTAGTCCTGAATTTCTCCCTCTTCTCCCATTCCAATTCCTGCATCTTGAATGTATTAATAGCGGCTTCAAAATAACCATGTCATTCCAGGGCAATGTGGAATATATCCTTTACTTCTCTTTTACCTTTTCTTCTCCTTCCTTTTTTTTTTTTTTTTTTTTTTTGTGTGTAGCATATCTAATGATGCATGTCCTGAAGGAATTTTCTAATGAGGAAAAAAATTGTGTAACTATTGTTATTCTTTTGGAGGTTAAAATTTTACCTTAGTGGTACTACCCTTTACCATCTGGTAATATTAGTGCTTGGATTTTTTAGTTTTGAAGTGTGTTCATTTTATTTCATTTGGTCTATTTTAGGCATTGTGTGGCTGCTCAATTAATGTACCAACACTGGATGGCAGAAACATACCTATGTCAGTAAATGATATTGTGAAACCTGGAATGAGAAGAAGAATTATTGGATACGGGCTGCCATTTCCAAAAAATCCTGACCAACGTGGTGACCTTCTAATAGAATTTGAGGTGTCCTTCCCAGATACTATATCATCTTCATCCAAAGAAGTGCTTAGGAAACATCTTCCTGCCTCATAGAATGAAGAACTTTGTTACCCATATTTTGATAAGGCACTGAAAATATAGAAGGACTGGCAGTTTACTCATGTAGATGTGAATTCTGTATAAAGATGTGTAAATTCTTTTGAGGGTTCATTAAATTGCATGAATAGAGACGGGTCAAATAAATAGGCAAAAGGGATTTTTACAGTTAGAGATAAAAAGAAAACCATTTACTATATTTTGTTTCATTTTTCCCAATTCAGTTATTTTTAGTAATTTGCTTATATGTAAAACTTGTTTTTGTGGAGTCAGTAGATAGAAAGTACTAGACTACCAATTACTTTATTTCTTATATCTTTAGATAATTAGTATGAAAAGTTTCCATTTATAATGGAAATAAAAATTCTTAAGTGAACTATACATGTAATATGTATTTCAAGAAGAGAATAAAAACCCAAGTCAGTTATTAGTTCTAAGTCACCTTCTGAAATGCTGCTATAGGGCTGGTATCAGTAAAAGAATATTCTGATGCATATGTTTCACCATTTTGATTTTTAAAGTATACTGTAGCGTTTCTTTTTTTTTTTTTTCTTTTATTTACTGTAGCATTTCTTAATAACATTGTTGCGATGTTCTTAAGGCAGACCTTTCTTCATAAAAAGGAAATTAATGGCTATTTCTCTCCTGTGGAAATCCCAATGGCCTGAATTACTGATATTTTAGAAATAGACTTTTTAAAATGCCATATGTAATTTTATGCAAGTTGACTATATATCTTGGACTTAATAAATTATACGCTCATTTTGTTCTCTGCTAGTTTAAAGTAATTTGTTTAATAATAGATGTGTTTTTAGAGGAAATGCTGTTACTTGTAATTAATTTTCCAATGATACAGTCTTCTATAACTTACTCATAATATGCTATATGTACTTTATGTAATTTCCCTAAAAAGAATGAACTACCACTACACTATGGTATTAAACCAAAATATGGGGAAAATAAACACTAACTGCTGCTTATGGACAATGTTGCAACTGCTTGTTATGCATATAAATATTTTACTTTTTCATATGTATAGATTGCATTTCTTAGGTGTTTTAATTTTTTAAAATATATTTACGTTTAAAAAATTATTTAGTTTTGTTTTCTTTTTTATAACTATAGTGAGAATGATGTTTTAAAACAAAGTTTTTGGTTATAAAATAGTTTTCAGGATGATTTATACACATATATAGTGTATGTATGTATACTGGGCCCTATCACCTTTTAGCAGAATATGAAATCAATATAAATAGATTATAATAGCCATATTCTTTATTACTTTATTGAGATATAATTTATATGCCATAAAGTTTACCCTTAAAATATACAATTCAGTGGTTTTAGTAATATTCACAAAGTAGTACAATCATCATCACTTTTTAATTCCAGAATATTTTCATCACCCCAAAAAGAAATCCTAAATCCATTCGCACTTACTTCCCATTCTTCCCTTCCTCCAGCCCCTGGCAAACACTAATCTGCTTTTTGTCTGTATGGATTTGTCTGTTCTGGACATTTCATACAAATAGAACCAAACAACATATGGCTTTTTTTTTTTTTTTTTTTTTTGGTCTGGCCTCTCATTTAGCTTAACGTTTTCAAGGTTTATCTATGTTGTATCATGTATCATGTGTCAGTACTTTATTCCTTTTTGTGGCAAATTATATGGATATACCACATTTTGTTTATCTTTTCGTTAATTATGGGCATTTGGCTTATTTCTACTTTTTTGGGTATTATAAAAAATAATGCTGCTATAAAAATTTGCATGAAAATTTTGTGTTTCAATTCTCATGAGTATATACCCAAAAGTGGAATTGCTGAGAGTAACCATTTACTTGAGTTGCAAATGGAAAATGCTTGAAAAAATGCCAGAGAATTCAGCTAATCACACTTATAATTAATAAGTGATTCCTCTATAACTCTCTCTGAATGACAGTTAAAACTCCGTACAGAAGTGTGAACATTACAGAAATGTTCTCACAAGTCTAAAGATCTAGAGCTGAAAAACATTAGTCAACATGGTGACTGATAGTGGTTTCAACTAAACCCATTATTATTTATTGCAATTTTCTTGATTAATCATTTTCTCCCAGGTAAAATAAATTATATACGCGCGTGCGCGCACACACACACACACACACACACACACACACACACAATTTATATATATATAAAATTTATTTTTTTTAAAGATGGGGTTTCTCCATGATGGCCAGGCTGGTCTTGAACTCCTGACCTCAGGTGATCCACCCACCTCGGCCTCCCAAAGTGCTAGGATTACAGGCGTGAGCCACCGCACCTGGCTATATAATTTATATATATTATCTTTGGATTAAAAAGTTTTTTAAGCAGAGAATTATTATTCTAGTAGTAAATAAATTTATATAACTATACAAAACCAGTATACCAGTATCTCTCTTATCTTAAAGGATATTGACAATGCTTTAGCATGTAGTAAGTGCCCACTTTCTATGTGTTGAATGTTGAATTAAAAAGTAATAAGAGTTTTACAGTTTTTTTATTTTTTCAAATTATGAGAGTACTTTTTATTTTAAAATCTTTTCTTTAAATTCAACCAGGTACTTGGATAGCTGGAATAGTTTTCAAGTACTATAGATCCCATAAAGAAAGATGTTCATTTTTTCTAAAAGAAAAAGCACAAATTGCTTATCTTAAAAAAAAAAAAAAAAAAAGGCCAGGTGCTGTGGTTTATGCCTGTAATCCTTTACGCCTGTAATCCCAGCACTTAGGGAGGCCAAGGCAATGGAAAATCGTTTTGAGTCCAAGAATTTGATACCAGCCTGGGCAACATAGCAAGACTCCATCTCTGCAAAAAAAATTTAAAAATTAGCTGAGCCTGGTGGCAGGTGCTGTAGTCCCAGCTACTTGAAAAGTTGACTTGAACCCAGGAGGTAGAGGCTGTAGTGAGTCCTGATTGCACCACTGCACTCAGCTGGGGTGACACAGTGAGACCCTGTCTCAAAAACAGAAACAAAGTATAAACCAAGGTGATTAATGGCCTGCTAATAAAGATGTTTTTTTTGGCCAGCTCAGTGGTTTAAAAACTGTTTTTTTTAATTAGAATGTTTTTTTGGCAAGGTATGGACTCTTCTGTTGCCACTGACCTACCATTATCTATTGTATTTCCTAAAGCTGCTTCATATGTTTAGTTATATTGCCTCGGCCTCTGAAAGCATCTGAATTAGTCACATTTACTGTAGCTCATCACTCCTGCCTATTGTTAGCCTTCCTTGGAGGCAAGGAGTTGAAAATACTCTTATTTTTGGAAAATTGCCATTTAAATAGTTACAATGGATAAAAGGAAATTAATACATGTGATTAGATTCAGTAAATGGTTTAGAAGTGACTATCTTCATATTCCAAGGACTATTTACATAACCTCAAGGAGTTAAGACTAAACGTCATTCTTTTATCTTTTTTTTTTCTTGAGACGGAGTGTTGCTCTGTTGCCCAGGCTGGAGTGCAGTGGCACAATCTCGGCTCATTGCAACCTCTGTCTCCTGGGTTCAAGCGATTCTCTTCCCTCAGCCTCCTGAGTAGCTGGGACTACAGGCGTGCGCCACCACACCCAGCTAATTTTTATATTTTTAGTAGAGATGAAGTTTCACTATGTTGGTCATCCTGGTCTCGAACTCCTGACCTCGTGATCTGCCTGCCTTGGCCTCCCAAAGTACTGGGATTACAGGAATGAGCCACAAATAGCTTAATCTAAATTTCAGTAAATAGATAAAGTTCTATAGAGTAAATATTTCAACATTTTAAACTTAGACTGTGATACTTTTAGTACATAAAATTGATAAAACTTTTGGAGCTGGAAATAATTTTTAAAATCCCATTTTCTAGGCCGGGCGTGGTGGCTCAAGCCTGTAATCCCAGCACTTTCGGAGGCCGAGGCGGGTGGATCACCAGGTCAAGAGATCGAGACCATCCTGGTCAACATGGTGAAACCCCGTCTCTACTAAAAATACAAAAAATTAGCTGGGCATGGTGGCGCGTGCCTGTAATCCCAGCTACTCAGGAGGCTGAGGCAGGAGAATTGCCTGAACCCGGGAGGCGGAGGTTGTGGTGAGCCGAGATCGCGCCATTGCACTCCAGCCTGGGTAACATGAGTGAAACTCCGTCTCAAAAAAAAAAAAAAAAAAAAAAAAAAATCCCATTTTCTAGATAAAGAAGTAAACCCAAAGAGGCTAAGTGGCTTGTCTGTGGTTAGAGCAGGCTCGATATATTCTTCTGGTCATTAAAGAAAAGAAAAAAAAGTAGAGCAGGCCGGGTGCAGTGGCTCATGTCTGTAATCCCAGCACTTTGGAAGGCCAAGGCAGGTGGATCACTTGAGGCTGGGAATTTGACATCAGCCTGGTCTACATGGTGAAACCCCATCTCTACTAAAAATACAAAAATTAGCCGGCGTGGTTGCAGGCACCTGTAATCGCAGCTACTTGGAAGGCTAAGGCAGGAGAATCACTTGAACCCAGGAGGTGGAGGTTGCAGTCAGTTGAGATCATGCTACTGCACTCCAGCCTGGGCGACATGATTGAGGGAGGCTCCGTCTCAAAAAAAAGCAAGCTGGAAAGGGAATCCTTATTTTCAGTGCCATTTTTCCCTAGAATGCCATTGATATCCCCTGTTGCTCAATTTTCAAGACTAGATCAAATTCTTTTACAGTTCATTTGCTGGCCAAGTGTGATGGCTCACACTCATAATACTAGCACTTTGGGAGGCCGAGGCAGGAGGATTGCTTGAGCTCAAGAATTCAAGACCAGCCTGGGCAACACAGTGATATTCCATTTCAATATTAAAAAGGAAAGTTCATTTGACTATTTCTTTGTATAGTCTGCATAATTTAGCATATATATTTGAAATATTTTTGGTCATTTAGGAACATATAAAATTATAACTTGGTGCTCACTAGAAAGCTTTTGAAACATTAGTTACAAAAACAGGCTTTTTCTTTTTAAGGAAATTAATAGCAGCAATAGTCCATAATTGGGCTGTGTCCTTCATTAGTTTACAAATATATATGCCAATGTTATTCTCAAAATAGTGTAAGGCCACATCTGAACAAAAAACAAGCACATTATTTTAATTTATATAAACAACATAAATGAAGATTTTTAGAAGTCTGTAAAAATATGAAATTATATCATTATAAAAATTCAAATATGAAAGTATATCAATGATGAAATTATATGAAATATGAGTTTGAAATATATGAAATATGAAATTCAAATATTCAAATATGAAATTTTATCATCGTAAAAAGGAGAGAGAAAAAAAGGGGGGAAGAAAGAAAGAAAACACTCTAAAGATTTTATTGAGAAGAAAAGTTTGTAATGATAAATAACATATAGAATCTACAATCATGCAAATATTGTAACCCCTCCCAAACTACAAATTGGTTAGTACATCATCTCTCCAGCTGTTAGAATTTTGGTTTGTGTGAACGTAGTTCTTGAGCTTTATTTATTTATTTATTAAAAAAAAATTTTTTTTTTTAGGCATGCTCTTGTGGCTAGAACACAGTAGTGCAATCAGGGCTCACTGCAGCCTCCACCTCCCAGGCTCAAGCTGATCCTCCCACTTCAGCCTCCCCTAAGTGGCTGGAACTATAGGCGTGCCTCACCACACCGGGCTAATTTTTGTATTTTTTGTAGAGGTGGAGTTTCACCATGTTGCCCAGGCTGAGCCATTTTTAACTGAGATAATTTTAGGAAGAGGAAACCAGAGGTTGGAAAAAGGAAATGAGAGTAAAGCAAATCATGAGAAATTTCTGATGCAGTCTTACACATAAGAAATAAAGCCAAGGCTGGTTGCAGTAAGCGAATCGTGGAGGAAGATGAGAAATTCCTGATGCAGTCTTACACATAAGAAATAAAGCCCAGGCTGGTTGCAGTGACTCATGCCTGTAATCCCAGCACTTTGGGAGGCTGATGCAGATGGATCTCTTGAGCCCAGGAGTTTGAGAACAGCCAGGGCAACATAGCAAAACTCCACCTCTACGCAAAATACAAAAATTAGCCAAGTGTGATGGGGAACCCCTGTAGTCCCAGCTACTTGGGAGGCTTAGGTG